GTTTTTAAAAGGAAAGGGGATGGAAATTTTTCCCTCAAAGGGCCAAGGATGGGCTTGGGCTAAAATATTATACCTCCAATTTGGTGTCATAGGGCCTTCTAAAGGTCAAAAAAAATGGCAATAACTGAGTGGTTATTCGCAAAGGCATTACGAACAAACGTATCCAAGCGTAGTAAGGGTCTATGGTAGAACGCCCTTACAAAAAGCCTATTGACGAATGGAGAGACTTTTTGTGCATTTTTAAATTTCCACCCAAAAACGTCTATTTACTGGGCATTCCATTACTTTGCAAACTGCACTGGTAAGAGAAATGGCGATAGTGGGAGGTTTCATGTCCCCAGTGGGCCCGGTTTTCGGAAAGGGGGAAAAATGGCGGATTTTCCCCAGCTGTGGAAGAATTCCTTGTGACCAAATAAGATTTTAAAGGCGTAATAGGACCCGCAAAAGGGGTGGACTGATGTAAAAGGGTTTTAGAATTTAAAAAAATGAATGTCGTGGGGGCCCCGCTGCCGATGGGTCGAAAAAAAAAAAAAAAAAACCCCAAAAAAAAAAATTAAAAAAACCCCCCAAAAAAATTTTAAAAAAAAAAATAAAAAAACCCAAAAAAAAAAAAAACCAAAAAAAAAAAAAAAAAAAAAAAAAAAAAAAAAAAAAAAAAAAAAAAATAAAAAAAAAAAAAAAAAAAAAAAAAAAAAAAAAAAAAAAAAAAAAAAAAATTGCCCCCAATTTTCCCTTTTGGGTCCCAACCCCAAAAAACCTTAATTTTGGGTTTTGGGGGTAAAATCCCAAAAACAAACCCCGGCAAACCCCGGGAAAGAAAAGGAGCCGGGTCAGGAGAATATTTTTCCAAATTTATTTTTTGTACTTTTTCCAAGCCCTCCTGGGGAAACAGGGTGATGGTGGAGAAAATAATCTCGCCAGGCCCAAATGCTTTAGGTCCGGGGACACGGCGAGCGGGTTCCCCCCAAAAAAGCTTCTGTTTTTTAAAAATTCCGGAGCCCCTCCCTTTTCCCAATTTAAATAGCCCTACCCCCCCCCCAAACCCCCTTTCCCCCCCCCCCCCCCCAAAAAAAACCCCCCCCCCCCCCCCCCCCCCCCCCCCCAAAAAATCCCCCCCCCCCCCCCCCCCCCCCCCCCCATTTTTCCCCCCCCCCCCCCCCCCCCCCCAAATTCCCCCATTTTTGGGGGATAGAATGAGAAGCGCGGTGGGAAAAGGGGGACAGAAGAGGTGTAAAAGCTACGATGGGGGACGAAGAAGGAAACCCCTTTAAAAAAAGTTAGGTGTGATAAAGGTTTCCCAAAATTTTCCCGATTAAATTGGGCCCGCGTGGGGTGCGAAGAGGGGCGAAAATGAAGGGGAAGTAAGAAAAGATTGGGAAATTTATCACTGTCCCTGTAAGTCCCCGGGGAAAGACCCAAATGAAGTCCCAAAGCCGGGGGAGGGGAAAGGGAGACTGAGAGATCGATGCAAGAGAGAGTAAAGGTCCGAGGGCAAAAAAGGGTGTGAGTACCTGTATTTAAAACCTGGAGGGGGGGGGTGGCAAGAAAAACCTCTAACCCGAAATTTCCCCAGGAATCACGTGAGACCCCCCCCCCCCGAGGAAAAAGGGGGCATTAAAAAACACCCCAAATAACAGAATCGGTGGGGGTTTAAAGGCCCAAAAGAAAACAAAATCCGGGAAAAGATAATGCCCCGAGAAAAGGGGAGGAAAAATAAAGAACAGAGGGGTATACCCCTTGTAAGTGGAAAACGGGCTCTGTGTAATGCAGCGAAGTATGAACAAATTGCTGATGGTAGGAATATCAGTGCGAAAGAAGGGCATTTCATTAAAGGCCCATCAAAGGGAAAAAAATCTGAAGAATAAAAAAAAATTAAAAAACCCCAGATGGGAAAAAATAACAGCAGGTGTAAATTTTTGGGTTTCCCGTAAGCAAACAACCCAAAAGGGGCAAACTGGGGGGGTAACATCTGAAGCTTTCCCCCGATTACCCCTGGGGCCCCCGGGATATTCCACTGTAAATGGGCCTGTTTGGGAATGATTTAAAAATACTTGAAAAACCCCAGGTAAGGGTTCCTACGGATAGAGGGGTTAAAAGTCCACTTTCGGAGGGAGGGAAAACGTTCAAGCAGCGAAGGAAAGGTGCGCTGTGAAGAAAGGAGTTGCCCCGGGGGAGCAGAGGAGAGAGAAAAAGGGGGAAAGGGGAAACAGTGCCTTGATGGTTTTGGGCTCTGCAATATATTCAGAGATTTCTTCAAGTGTTTTTGGAATTCAGAGACGGCGTAAAGGGAAACAATAGGGAAAAGGTAAAGGGGGGGGGATGAGGGAAAGATTGGAACTGTAATTGGCTGTACCCAAAGGGAGGGGGGGGGGGGGAAAGGGGGGAGGGGAAAAAGGGGGAAAACGTGGCAGGGGACAAAAAGAGGCAGGAACCCCGGGAGGTGGCAGAAAAGAAGAAACTTGGGGGGGAACAGGGGAGGAAGGTCAGTTGAGGAGGGGGGTTTAACCTCTACACTTGTAACTGAGCCCGTGGGGAGGGGGGGAACCCGGGGGCGAGACAGGGGGTAAAAAAAGAGGAGGTGGAAGATGGGTAGGAGGTGTTAACCGGGCCTTTTTTTGACTTTTGGGGAAATAGAGGACGATTGGGGGAGGGGTCGTACGGGTTTCGTCGATACTGAGGCTTGTGAGAGGAACACGAAGAAGCGAGATCCGACTGAGGGGGTTTTAAGTAGGGGCGTCTGAGCTGAGGACAGCAAAAAGGGTTTTGATACAGGGTGACTTAAAAGAGAGGTAACCCCAGGGTGGGTGTAGAAGTTGGGTAAGTCCCGGGAAATGGGGGACTTTTTTAAAAAACGGGAAAAAAAACCGTGGGAGTCTCCCCCTTTGGGGGCGGAGATGAGAAAAATGCCATGGCATAAGGGGGCCTTCTGTCTCTTTAGGTAAAAGGGGTAATGTTAAAGGGACCCAATGCATGTGTAGAGCGACCCACTGGCTGGCTTGTAAACACTGGCGTGAGGCCACACGTAGGATGCATCCCGGACGAATCACGTAAGGCGAGGCAAAATTTTGCGTTCAAATGCTTCGTATGGCAGATTTAACGTAACGCGATGCATTCGTAAGGCGAGGTCCACTGTGTGTGTGTGTGTGTGTGTGTGTGTGTGTGTGTGTGTGTGTGTGTGTGTGTGTGTGTGTGTGTGTGTGTGTGTGTGTGTGTGTGTGTGTGATATATATATATATATAAATATATATATATATATATAAATATATATATATATATATATATATTATATATATATATATATATATATATATATATAACCCCTTCTCCTGTATATATTACTAAATGTAAAAGGAGAAACTTTAGTTTTTCCTTTTGGGCCACCCCGCCTCGGTGGGATACGGCCAGTGTGTTGAAAGAAAGATTTATATATATGCCGTGCCGAATATGTAAAACTGGTCATTTAGCAAGAACTCATTTAAAATTAAGTCCTTTCTAAAATTTTCTCTTATACGTTTAAAGATATATTTTTTTTCGTTAATGTAAAAATTTTTAATTTTGCACCAAAAGAATCTTAGAAAACTTGCCTAACCTTATTATAACAAGAACAATTTATTTTAGCTTAACCCAACTAAATATATTTTAGATTTGTTTACAATAATTTAATACTAAACAAACACAGTGAAAAATATTTTTTTCGTTAGGTTCAGAATGATTTTGGCGAAATTATTGCATACACAAATTTTTACTTGTCTTATATGGCAAGATGAGCGTTGCTATTTAACCCTTTCAGGGTCCAAGGCCCAAATCTGGAGTCACGCACCAGTGTCCAAGAATTTTCAAAAAAAAAATTTGTTATTTTTTCTTATGAAATCGTAGAGAATCTTTTGTGAAGGTAATAAAACAAAAAGTACGAAATTTGGTGGAAAATTGACGAAATTGTGCTCTCGCGAATTTTGATGTGTCAGCGATATTTACGAATCGGCGATTTTGCCGACTTTGACTCCCATTTTAGGCCAATTACATTATTCCAATCAACCAAATTCTTAGCTATTTCACTAGTATTACTTCTATTCTATCGATTGAGCACAAGAAATCGCCAAGTCAACTGTTTCAACTACAAAATAAAGTGATCGGAAATTGTTAATTTGGCCAATTTAACACAAAGTTCAAATTATTCCAATTTCAAAATAGGGTCCAGAATGAACAATGTAGGCATTCCTGGCACTAAACTAACATTTCCTCTGTTCATTAGTTATGTTTTGAGGCTTTACAAATAAATTCCATTTTGATTTTTTATTCACATAATGAATTTTTATTCACACCAAAAAATAGAAGATTTACTCTTATGCAATACTGTAATAATTGTATAAATATCATCACCATATTTGTGAATGTATATTAGACCCACCAGCTGACGTGTATTAGATGTGTGAGTCGTTTGTTTACTCTTGAATATCGGCAAAAATTTAACATTTCCGCTACTTTGAGCTCAGTTTCAAGCCATTTCCAATGCTAAAACTAATCAAAATCATCTCTATTTCTGTAACATGTCTTCCATTCTATCAAATGAGACCAAGAAATCGCAAATACAACTATAAAAAACATACGAAAAAACACTGCAAAGTTGCTGTTTTAATCGAAAAATCATGATTTCATTTTTTTTCTCTCATTATACACAGTGTGCTGCAGGATCTGTTTTATGTGGTGCACACATACCACATAGATGTATTCTCTCATATCTAGGCCCAAATGTACCACTCACAGTTTATCAGAGTGAGCTGAGCTCATGGCGTAGATCTACGGTTTGGACCCTGAACGTAAAGCCGTAGATCTACGGGACGGACCCTGAAAGGGTTAAGCCAAGATCGCAAGTTCTGCCTATTCGGCACGACATATACATACACACTTAGAAAGGTGTGGAGGTAAAATCATGAATTTATTTCTCAATATATGCAAGTTGCAATACAGTTTATACTAATATAATTCCCTTATATCAACAGGATTTGTTGGCAGTGCTTGGTGGATTTGTAGGAGCTCTCCGTGTACCTGAAAAATGGGTACCTGGCCGCTTGGATCTACTAGCTAACTCTCACCACATTATGCATGTGGTGGTGGTGTACGCAGTTTATACTAATATAATTCCCTTATATCAACAGGATTTGTTGGCAGTGCTTGGTGGATTTGTAGGAGCTCTCCGTGTACCTGAAAAATGGGTACCTGGCCGCTTGGATCTACTAGCTAACTCTCACCACATTATGCATGTGGTGGTGGTGTACGCAGTTTACCACCTTCACCAAGGAGCTGTGCTTGACTTAGTGTGGTTGTCAGGCAAAACCTCCTGTCCACTTGCTGATGCCCAGAGTATTCTGTAAAGATTGTGTGGTGTTTTATCAAAATATCAACCTGCACTCATCTGCCATAACACCTTCATGCCAACACTTTCTTAGATTTGTTACAAATGGTTGTCAGTGACAGTACAGAAAATTTTAACATTTAGTTTATATTTTAAACAAAATGGTGATAATCTGTAACACATTCTAATGTACATATTGGTCCTTCGTTATACTCAGTATACGTATTTGTATTGTTTATTGAAAATTTACCTACTGTATTTAATTTATATATTTTGAGTTACAATGTTAGACAAAGGTACCTAAGTATTGTCTAGGCTTTTAGATAATGCAGGCTATAGTTTGTAACAATTTACCTAGATGCATAGGCTACATCTATATTATGTTAGGAAAGTCTATTATTTGAAAAAAATATTTAAGATTTTATTTTTTAGAATATTAGAAGTTTAGAACAATAATTTGTTTTTAAATATTAATTGAGCACTTGTACTGTTAGTGGCTTACTATATCATTATTTCCATTAATTACAGCTTCACAATTTTGTCATAACTATGTTAGTCCAAAAGTGTTTAGCATAAGAATCCACAAACCCATATAGTCACTAGCCCTTAAAGAATCATTCCTTAGGTCAACATAAAATGTACATTTGCATAGCAATTTATCCAGGCAGCTCATGAGATATCAGAAATGTATTTATTAATATATTGTTCAAGAAATGTATGGCTGCCAAAACCATTGCCTGGCTGGATATATTGCTGCTGCACAATTATAGGTACCTCACTAGAATAACTAGAAAGCATTTTTGGGTCTCTCATGCTTTTAGCAAAGATGTTATGTAGGAAGATGCATCACTCGGCAATTCATGTGCGTAATCTGTATACCATTCTGCCATCTAGCAGCAGGTGGAATAAAATTACATTAATTTTCAGTAATTTTTAAGGTTACAGGAGAAAAAGAAAAGACATGTCTTTGGAAAGAATTGTGGCAGTGATACAAGTAAAGCTTAAAATATATGAATGAGTGATAAAATATTGCTGCAATGAAAATTGCTTTCAAAACTTAGTGTGTTTAGGTTCAAGGATAATGCAGTATACTGTGAAGGTCAATAAACCACAATCCATTGAGACAAAATCAAGGATAATGATCAACGTAAATTCTAAAGCAGTTATACACAGAGATATGCACATCTACTTATCTATATCCTACTGCAGTAAAAGGAGTCAATAAGGAGAGGAAAATTTATTGTAGTACACTGTCACTTCTATGTGGAAAGCTCATCACAGTAAGCTTGTTTGCTATTATAAACAATAAGGTTACATTTTCTATAAAAAAAATCCAGTGCCCTACCTGTACTGTTTTTTTTTTTTTTTAAACGTCATAATGTAGGCCAATTCCAAGCGAGGCACATAGAATGGACTTGAGGCAGAATTTATAAATAATCCTACCTTCTTTTCCATAGTACAATGGGGATTTCTTATTCCAAAGCAAAATGAAATGATTAATAATGTTTACAAATGTTCCCCTTTTTAGTTGCAGTACAAAATTTAATGCATCACATAAGTATGGCTACCTTGAATCTATAAGGTACAAGGTTAGAGCAAGAACTGCATTTACCTAATTAACTTGTAAGTGAATACAAGTGGCTGGGCTGGTAGGATCTGGTGTAGCTACACCACCTGCAAAAATAGTTATGCCCCATGAATAAATTTCCCTAAGTGATTATCATTATTTGGTACTTAATTTGAGGTGCAGAAGTGTCTCAGTGTTGTTAATGATGCTACTAATGTCCTTTATGTAGATGAGACACAATGGTCTTACTTGGAAAAGATTAGTATTTATATAAAAAAAAAAAAAAAAAAAAAAAAAACATTCAAATGAAATCTTGTTTAAAGTTGCTAACCAAAAATGTATTAGCCCCACATGTTCTGTAATAGAAATTATTAAAGTAAAACTAAAAATAAATTGCTAAACCTGCATGGGTTATTAAGTATTAAACAAATAAACTTCATAAAGTTGGGGTATATAAGGCGCTGTATAGTCCTTGTGGCTTAGCGCTTCTTTTTGATTATAATAATAATAATAATGGGGTATATAAGGAAACACATGCTAGGAGAAAAGTGAAGCAAACTGAATGCTCTCTTAAATTTACATCAACTCTGAGTAAAAGTTAAATTTTCTTTGAACTTTTGTTCATTTTTTTTTTTTTTTGAGATTTAAACACTTGTAGTTTGGTATGTGATCAGCCTCTTAATGGGTGTCAGGATCAATATCTATATTCACAGTATACCTGATACTGTAGCATACTCATGCTGGGGTTAACAGTGAACACTGCTTTCAACATAATTTTGCCAGGCTGCCTTCTATATCACTCACTATAGTCCCTCCACATTACTAATTATGTACAGTATATATATACCCAAAATGACTTAGATTACAAGATTTGTATACTAATGTGCCAGCCTAACACTGGGGTGTTGCTGTCATTGTTCACTATACTGTATTTTGCAAGTTATTAATTTGTTTATCTTTTAAACATTAAACAGCACTATTTTTTAAATGTAAAATCAGTACTTCAAATTAAAAGTAGTCTTCAAAAAAAATGTATTTATCAGTGTTCCACTACTTGTATTGTTATAAAAGTGTTCATTTAGAATTATCATAATACTGTAATGTAATTAATGAGGTGAACTGGAACCTAGCTGAAACCATTACTGTAATTTATTTTACAGTACTCTTTAATTAAATTTTTTTTCTTTACCAGGACTTTAAAAAATATACTATCTGCCTATAAAATTTAGAATGTGAATATTCCGATACAGAACCCCGGGACTGAACAGTAATGACACCTTTGCCCTAATTTCTCTACATACCTTCATACATTATATAGGTTATTTAACCTAAATAATTTAACCCACATAAGAACCATACCAGTCATGATGATTACACACACACCGGGCCGCTGGGGCATTGACTCCCGAACCCTCTCCAGGTAAACACACACAAGTTGACTTATACTGACAGAGTGATGCATCTTGTTATGTACAACGTCTGCTCTTCATACTAAGTCAGGAATTCACTGATCAGTCATTTACTAAAGCAGTGAATTCGTATACTTTGTGATGCAAGTTGTTTTATGCTGAACAAACTGCACTTAAAATATTTTGTAACTTATTTATGGTACTGTACATAATTAAATATTACTAGGCTAACTGTACACATTATCAGGCACAAAAATGTGCTAATTTATTAGATTACCTAGATCTTGACCTTTTATTTGAAATAACCATAAAGAAGCTTTTAGATTATATTTATGTGCATGCAAACCTATTATGTTTTGATTTATTGGCGAACACTTTGCTAATTATGAAATTTGTTAATTACAAAAAAATAATGCTCTCAAGTTAAATATAAACCAGCAATTTCATCATGCAGTGCTAGAGGAATATAGAATATAATAATTGAGGTGCATGTGGTAGAACATTTACATTATAATGAGAGCATTTAATTTTCTTTATTATAGATATATACGTACAAACTAAGAAAATGACTTCAGTAATTTTAGGCTTGTCTCATTTCTATTAAATGATAAAGTAAATATTGAATAGCATCATCTTTCACTTCTTTGGACCCGATCCTTTGTGTATTTGTTAACTTTTCCTTGCCGTGTTTGTTACGGAAAAATAACATTCATAAAATATACAGGATCCTTTGTTCATTCAGTATTTAAGGGGGTATTAAATATGCAACATAAATTCTCTAAGCTTGAAAGATTCTGTTGTCACTTGTACTACACTATAATAACACTAATTCAGAAAAAAATCTTACATTATTTTTCCCCACTTAAAAAAATGCCAAAAAGCTCTTTTTGAATATTTGCAGTATAAAACAGTATATTTTAATCAAATATTTCACTACTAAATTGATCTATAAGTGTAACTTATATCAAGAAAGATTGTCAAGACAGCTACCAGAATATTACATTGGTATTAGTACTGTACCACAGTAGCAGAAGTGTATTAGCTTCCTTCAGTCATGCTTGATGTATTTTTTCTACACAGTATTCATTATATCATTTAATTGTAATGATTTTTTAGTTTTGCTCATCCAACTATCATATATGGTTTGCTTACTAAAAAATTTAATTAAATACAACTTCATTCTTTTTGTAACTTTAAACATTTCATCAATTTATTTGTTTATTGCAAACACAAAAAAAAAAAATCTTTCCATGATACAAATTAAATAATGCAGGAATATGAAAGGATTTTGCTCATTACATGTGTGTCCTCTACTAAAGAAAGTCATACCAACTAAACTTCATGTGTTAATTACTAAGCTTGTTACTATCCAAACAAGTATATATCCTCATGCATTTATAATATTAGCATATTTGTTAATTGTGTGAAATGTGCTATATATACATACCTCTGATAATGTTTTCTGCTGGCAGAAAGTATACTAAATTTTACTTTTAAAGGTTCTTCTATGTCTTCATTACAACTTAAGTTCACTTCCATGTGTGGTATCACTCTGCATCAAGTCTTATGTAGAGTAGAAACCTGTAGGGAGTAGACTCTTTCAGATATTTCACTTTTCAAAGCTTTATTAGATCTGAAGGAAATATATGAGACTGGTGGTTTATGAAAGAGGGAAGACAGAACAAAGTTAGGTCAAGTGAGGATTGTAAAGGATTAGATAAAGATTGTCACTGGTGGTTTTTATATGGTTACCTGCAGGATGGAAACACTTTCTCCTGGCATTCTTCTCTGATATGAATTTGAAGAATGAAAATTCTAGTTGTTGGTAAAGAAAGAGACGAGCGCAGTTTTATGGAATAATTTATTGGCATTTTACCTATGTCACATTAAGATAAACCTAGTGAGAGAAAGTGAGTAGAGTAGCAGTGAGGTGAAGAACATGTGAGGTTCATGAAATGTTAATCCCCCATTGCATCTCTTTAGTCACGAACAGATAAACCCATTGTGTTTATCTGTTTGTGATTTGAAGAAGCCTATTGCAAGGACAAAATGCCATCAATAAAGAATTCCATAGCAGTACATTTATGATTTTTTATCATTATCTCATTTGTAATGATACTTTTTATGTATAAGCTGATGTAGCTAAATTTTGACCCAAAATGTTAAGCACTCTCAGGGATGTTCATACTGGACAAGATGTAAGCATATGTCATTAAGAAACCAACCAGCCTAGATTTCAGCTCACTCTTTACTAATTCCATCATCTACCAACAGAAAGTTCTGATATAGTGTCACAGCTTTTACCTTCAATGTTTCTTTGACCTTGTTGACATTCATTTTTGCTAATATGGCTGTAGTTTTCAATTCTGTCTTAAAGAAGTAGGCATGGTCATATTATTGTTTTTTTTTTTTATTATTAATAACACATCGGCCATTTCCCACCAAGGCAGGATGGCCCAAAAAAGGAAAACTTTAATCATCATTCACTCCATCACTGTCTTGCCAGAGGCATGCTTACACTACAGTTATAAAACTGCAACATTAACACCCCTCCTTCAGAGTGCTGGCACTGTACTTCCCATCTCCAAGAATCAAGTCCAGCCTGTCTGTTTCCCTGAATTCCTTCATAAATATTACGTTGCTTACACTCCAATAGCACGTCAAGTTCTAAAAACCATTTGTCCCTATCTAACACACACTCACACACACTTGCTGGAAGTCCAAGCCTCTCGCACACAAAACCTCCTCCCTCCAACCATTCCTAGGCCGACCCCTCCCCCGCCTTCCCTCCACTACAGATTTATACACTCTCGAAGTCATTCTATTTCGTTCCATTCTCTCTACATGTCCAAACCATCTCAATAACCCCTCCTCAGCCCTCTGGAAAATAGTTTTAGTAATCCTGGACCACCTCCTAATCTCCAAACTATGGATTCTCTGCATTATATTCACACCACACATTGTCCTCAGACATGCCATCTCCACTGCCTCCAGCCTTCTCCTTGTTGCAACATTCACCACCCATGCCTCACATGCATAAAAGAGCATTGGTATAACTATACTTTCATACATCCTCCTCTTTGCTTTTGTGGATAAAGTTGTCTCCACAGACTCCTCAGTGCACCACTCACTTTTTTCCCCCTCATCAATTATATGATTCACCTCATCTTACATAGACCCATCTGCTGACACGTCCACTCCCAAATATTTTAGTTATGTTGGAGGGAAGTACAGTGCCTACACTCTGAAGGAGAGGTGGGGATGTTGCCATTTGGAGGGTCATCTGAACTGTAATGTCAGAGTGCTTCTAGCAAGGTACTGATTGAATGACAGTGAAAGTATTTCCTTATTTGTCAGGCCACCCTGCCTTGGTGTGAGTACTGAAAAAAGAATTAACTGACAATACAGTGTACACTGTACTTTAAAAATAGGCTCCTCTCCCTCAAATACACTAATTATAGATGGCAAAACTTTCATTGCATTTTACAGAAAATCAACTTCCAAAAGCATTTTATTTTTATCTCTCTAGTGACAGGTTCAAAAAACAAGGGAATGGGGGAAGGGGGCTATGAAATAAAAAAAAATCTTGGGGATTTTTATGATTTATAACAATTACTTGAGGAGGAATTCCAGATTATCCTAACTCTTCCGCCCAAGGTGGTACTACCGTCCTGCCAAGTGAGTGTAAAACGTAAGCCTGTATTTGTTTTACATGATGGTAGGATTGTTGGTGTCTTTTCTCTCATAAACATGCAAGATTTCAGGTACGTTTTGCTACTTCTACTTACACTTGAGTCACATTACGCATACATGTACAAGCATATACAGTGGAACCTCTACTTGCGAGTTTAATCCGTTCCGTGACCTTGCTCGCAACTGGATTTGCTCGTTTGCAGAGTCAGTTTTCCCTCATTTAAATTAACTGAAATGCAATTAATCTATCTATCTCACGTCATCTAATATGACATAATAAACAGTATAACATAGAAACCTGATATATACTCTGAAATGAATAAAATATGTCATTCATGTAATGGTATGGGCAGTGT